CTAAGTAAGTTTTCTTGAATTTACAAGATATTTCCCAGTCCTTAACTCTTTTAATTTATCTTTAACTATCAATTATGATTTTCATTCCATTTTATCGACGTTAGGTTAGTTTTTCTTCATTTTACAGGATATTTCCCAGTCGTAAACTCCTTTTAAGTTTTTATTGAATATAACTGATTATAATTTGTATAAAATTTTGTCTCTATTAAGTGAGCTTTCTTCGGATTACAAGGTATTGCCGATTCGTAAACTACTTTTAAGATTTCGTACTTTTATGATTATAATTTCTAAAACAATTTGCCTCTATTAAACAAGCTTAAGATCTATGTGGATATAAATTATTAAAGTTTTTATCAAATGTTGCCTCAGTTGGCAGAGTTTTCTTCACTTTGCAGGGTATTCCACAGTCGTAACCTCCCCTATTTTATTTGTTTAGCTTGTTGGCTCAGTTTAGCTAAATGACCTTTGCAAATTGCAAATTGAAACCCGTTTTCCCTCCAAGCCCTAACCGCTATTCCCACTCTCCATCATCTCCTCTCTCCCCTCTCCGCACTTTCCTAACCGTTTACCATTCTACATTCGGCCAACTGCATGCCATGACATTTTCCAGTCGTCGACTTCTTTTGCGGTCGTCCGTTGTGTGCGGCCATTTAGCTCTCTAATTGCTGTCATTCCACAGCGCCAGAGCCGAGGAGAGAGTAGAGGAGAGGAGAGAGGAGAGGAGCGCGACCTCAGCGCCAGTAAATGTTCCGTTTGCAGTTGCTGTTATTCGACTACCCTGCACTGGCGATGGCCCAAATGGGGTATATCGACCCCGCCGACTTACGACTCATATACAGGGTATCTGTGATGCGTTCAACTCTCTCTCTCTCTCTCTCTCTCGCTCGCTCGCTCTGTCTCGTTGCGGCAGGTCAAAAGTGTCAAATTACGTACAATTATTTTTAACTTAAGCAACGTGCGTGCTGTATTTGTGCACCGCCCCCTCCTACCACGCCCCCGACACAGACACAGACACCTCCAGCCGCAGCAATTCTTGACTCCATTCTCCCTCCTCCGTCTGCTTTCCTTCACTCCTCTTCGCTCACCCACACTCTCACACGCTTTTGGCATTGCTTTTAACTTCACTTGGTTCGTTTTCAATCACTTGTTCTGCTCCTCGTCTCCCTACTTCACTACCACCTTCTTCTTCTTCTTCCACCATCGTCCTCTTCTTCTTCTTCTTCTTTTGCTGCGCTGCCCACTCTCGCAGCACTTCAAGTTAAGTTCACTTCACTCGTCCGCTTAGTCATCTTCGGTTGTCTTTTTGTCTTGCATCTCTGTCTCGTTCCTGCTCTGTCTCTCCCTCTCCCTCTCTCTCACTCTTTGCCTTTTAAGTGCTGCCCACTTCTTCGTTTGCCGCAACCGCAAAAACTAGCAACATCGATGGAAAAAAAAAAAAAAAAAACAAAACAAAAAAAACATTTTGCGCCTTTTGTTTCGCTTTCCGGGTCGCACTCGCTCTCGCTCTCACTCTTACTCCCTCTCCCTCTCCCTCTCTCGTTCTTGCTCATGGCTTGTCTTAGTCTCTGTTTGTCTTTCAATTCTGTTACCCATTTATCTACTTCTCCGACTACTCACTCACACACTGCCTTCCTCTCTCCCTCTCTCTCTCTCTCTCTCTTCATCCACTATGCAATCATACAATTTCCTTATTCGCATTTAAATAGTTTTTAGATATTATTATACATACATACATACATTTGTATCTACACACATACATACGTCTGTACATTAACATTATAAAGTATTTCTTTAGATTTATTATATAATATTTCATTTTGTGAAGGTCGCCAAATTCTCGACTCGAAAACTTTTGATCGAATTCTACGTGAGTTTTTGTACAATTTAGTTTTAGCTTTTAGATTTTTGTTTTTGTTTCTTCCTCTTCTTCTTCTTCTTCTTTTGTTCGATCATTAATTGTGCTGAAGAACAATGAAATGGAATTCGAAGGCTAACTGCGTGCAGCGCTCTATTAAAAGAGCTTTGCAATCTATGAACAAATTCTACAAATACTAGGTATAGTCCATAAACAACTATTAACAACTGTGAATATACATACATGTGTACTTATATATGACTGTTGTATTGTATATATGCATATATTTAGGTTTCGTTTTGGCAAATTCCACAGTTTCAAATGTGAAGTGAATAATCGGGAAATAATTCCATTCTCATTCGTATAGCTCTGTTTCTGTTCCTTCGTCCCTTTGTCTTTATTTCTATATCTCTATCTCTCTCTGTCTCTCCTTCTCCATCTTTGTCTCTTTCTCTATCTATCTATCTATCACTGTCTCTTTCTTCCTTTTTCTTTCTCTATCTCTGACTATCTGCCTCCCTCCATCAACTATCTCTGTCTGTCTCTCTCCATCTAAGTATCTATCTATGTCTTTCTTTCTCTCTCACTCTCTGCCTCTATCTCTCTCTCTCTTTCTCTCTCACTCTCTGCTTCTCGCTCTCTATCTTCCTCCCAATTTCCACCTTTCCCTCTTCTCTTTCACTATCCTCCTCGACTTACCTCTCTATCTTTCTCTAAGTCTCTCCATCTCTCCCCACTCCTTTCTGTATCTCTCCATCTCCATCACCTCTACCTCTTTTCCATACATTCCCTTCTCATTCCCCCTCTCTCTACCACTCTTCTCGCTTCTATCGCTACCTTCCCTACATAATGCCTAAAAAAAAAAAGAATTGGTTCAATTCCCTTATCAAAATTATGCATATATATGTATGTTTGTATTTACATCCATATATACATATGTAGTAGTTCTTCCCTCCGGGCTTATCTCGCGCGTATTGCAACAATTTGGGTTGCGGTCGATTCGACTAGAGCCAAAGGGGCGTTGGGAAGCGAACAGCAGGCGGGACTATTCCAAAAGACCCAAACAGGAAATGAGATTCTATGTTTGTTGTATGAATCGGGGCATAGTACTATACCATATATACTATATAGTATATACATATATATTTTATATTCTATACCATATATACTACATAAATATATATTCTATATTCAACTAAGTGCACACATATACACATATGTACATATATTAACTGAGCATAGTACGTGAATATGTACTATATATATTATATATTATTAGCAAAATATATTAATTATATGTTGAGTGAAGTCTTCCTCAACTGAATAAAATATAATATATTATATTATATATATGTATATATTATTGAATATATTTTACTAATCAACACAGTCAATACAGCCCTCTCTGGCACTATCTCTCATTTTCTATATATGTATATATATTTATATATGTATATTAAGCTGTGGTCTCATCTGAATTCAAGATATTAGCTATCTACATACATACGGATACAGATGTTATTCCCATACAGATGTACGTCCTTTATTCTATACAGTTCTCGCTTCACTCTCTCTCCCTTATATTTCCTGCACCTACACATTCTCATTAAATAACTCTTAATATGATTTGAAATCAACGCAAAATATCATTACTACAGATCCAAGGTAATACGTCCGCTTCTTAAGACTTCTTAAGCTCGAGCTTATGATTATTCATAAATATTCCCAAGATACATACAATATACAGGTGTATATAAAGGTGAATGCGGTTCTAATGACGCTCAAGGAACCGTCGCTATAACCGGAAGGATCTCTAACCATATAGGTTTGCCCACACATATATCTAAGTTTGTCTGGGGACCAGAATATGCATCGCTATAACTGTACGGATGCTATAAACGGAGTCGTTATAACCGAATACTATATGTTTTGCCTTCATATAAGAGTTGCGATCTACTCTGCCATGATCATCGCTATAACGAAGTACTCTTCTGACTGTAGAATCACTGACGTCCTTTTTCTAAATATGATTTAAGCTCCTTGTTAATTTTTGGTATTGACTTCAAGGGATTTGGCTTTATATGGCGAACTATCCACATTTCATCATTTTCTGTTAACTTTGTATTTGTCTGAGCTCGAGCTTTATTTCGGATCGTACTCTCTGTTTTACTTCTTTTTATGATATACTGAATGGTAGTTCGAGTTCTCTTAAGGCTTTCAGCAATCTCAGCCTAACTTTTTCCAGTAATATGATGGAAAAGAGGAGGTTTGCTTCAGGGTTTTTAAATGAAGCTTTTCAATTATATAAATACAGTCGAGTCTCGATATTTCGTACCCAGCCAAATCGAAAATCGCGATAAATCGAACAAAATTCTATCGTTCCCCATAATTCTCGATAATTTGAATTTCTGTGTAAATCGAAAAACAACTGATTCCCTCTGCCTTTTCGAATTGTCGAAACTGTATATCAGAAAATCACTAAATCACACTTTCAGTTACAATCTCAACTAGGCCCGATTGGAAAAATTCTTGGTATTCCCAAAATTGGATCGATGTAGAATTTTCAGTGAGGCCATATTTTTGTAAATTTCGGAGTATGCCCAAATTGGGCGTGGCAACACTGTTTATATGAACATAGTAAATTATTTTGCGTTAGCTTTGTTTCCAGACAAATTTTGTGCGAAAATGGGGTTTACTTTAGAAGTTATGAACTAAATTGTAAAATCATATTAGCTGTACGATTTTCAGTGACACTCACTGTAAGTATATACATACATACATATATATCGATAACTTATATCAAGTTAAATCGAAAAACGCAATAAATCGAAACAAAAATCGTTCTCGATAATTCTCGATAGTTTAAATTTCTGCGTAAATCGAAAGAAAACTGTTTCCTTTGCCATTGCGAATGAACGGAACTCGACTGTATACACATATGTACATACATATGTATATAGCTTTAGCTACAGCCCTGATCAATTGCTGCTGCAGCTCTGGCTAGACGATGTTGCTGATAGGTCAGCGACTGTCTGCTGCAGCTGCGTTTCCTACACATTATATAATATTAATATTGATATAAACATATATATATTTTATTTGTATATACATATATATATATATATATATTTAGACATTTGCTCACCTTTGAATTTGTGTGCCACTCGAGATGCGCTGCGGATACGACATATTGGCAACTTGTTGCTGCTGCTTCTGCTGCTGCTGCTGCTGTTGCTGTTGCGCTGCTTTATTTTGCTGCTGCTGCTGTTGATTAGTTGCTGCTGCCTGCTGCTGCTGCTGCTGTTGCTGTTGCTGTTGCTGCTGATGATGATGTAGATGATGGGACGTTGGTCCATTATCATGCACTTGATGCGACGCAGCAGCGTTGCCTGCTGCTGCGTTGTGTTGCTGCTGATTGCTGGCAATACGTTGCTGTTGCTGATGTTGCTGTTGTTGCTGCTGTTGCTGCTGCTGCTGCTGCTGCTGATGATGATGGTGATGGTGATGAAGTTGTTGCTGATGTTGCAATTGCTGCTGCTGCTGTTGATGCTGCTGTTGTTGCTGCTGTTGCTGCTGTTGGTGTTGTTGATGCTGCTGATGTTGCTGATGCTGCTGCTGCTGCTGTTGTCCACCGTTTGGGGCGTTGTTTGTGGGCGGCGGAGCACCGACCTGCACTGAAGAGGAGCGTATAGCTGCTTCCATTTCATGCCGAACTCTTTTGGCTTAAACACTTGTTGTTCCGCCCAGAAGTTGTTGTTGCTGTTGTTGCTGCTTCTACTGGTTTATATGTAATGTTGCTACTGCCGTTGTTGTTGTTGCTGTTGTTGCTGCTGTTGCTGTTGTTGCTGTTGCTGTTGTTGTTGGTTTTATCACTGAGCTGCTCGCATGCAACAACATTGCACTGCAACATATTCACAACATGAGCAATTGTTTCTGTTTACTCGTTTCTTATTGTTGTTATTATTATTATTATTATTATTATTATTATTATTATTATTATTAATGTTGTTGCTGTTGTTGTTGCTATTGTTGTTGCTGTCAATAAAACAGCAACAACATTTAGCTTGCGCGCTTTTGAGACGCCATGCAGCTGCTGCACTTGTATTTCGAGTTGTTGTTGTTGTTGTTTGCTTTGTTTTGTTTTGTTATAAATGAATTTGTTGTTGTTGTTGTTGTTGTATTACTATATTAAACATTTGCCTATTTACACACACACTGCGACTGCTGAAAAAAGACAAAGACGAAGATGAAGAAAACCTCTTGTAATTTTCGCACACACACACACACACACACAGTGTGTGACAAAGATAGAGAAAGCGAGAGAGAGAGAGAGGGGAACAATGGCCAGTGTGAAGTGTGGCAACGTTGCACGCGCTTGCCTTGTTGCCAGTTTTCACTAAACACACGCGTTTTTCCTTCTTGTTGCACAGAAACCAAACAAAAAAAACACACAGAAAAAAAATGTATTTTAAAACTTGATAACAAAAAAAAAAAAACAAGCCTTTTAGAAACAATATATATTTTTTCATTTTATTTATTTTATGCTAGCGAAAAAAATACGCGCACAAAACATTTGAGAAAACTTTTCTCATTTTTCTTTTTTCTATTATTTATTTATGCAATTTTTTGTTGTTTTTTTCTGGCAAAAAAAAAAACTGGTGACACATATATGGTGGGCGTGGTGGGCGTGGTGTCACAGTGTTTTGGCTAGCTAAATGCTTATATAGGAATATATACAATGTATCTATGCGTGTGCATGTGTGTGTGTTGGTTGATTAACAAATTAGTTAGTTTTCATTTTATTTGTTAGTTTTTCTCTTCTTCAATTTCGTCAGTTAAGTTGCGAAAATATTCCATTAATTAACAACTTTTGCGCACACTTTTAATTTAATTCATTATTTACTATGATTTGTATTTGAATTTCTCTTTTATTTCTCTTCATTTTTGTTGCTTTTTTGCTGGCTTTTTTATCAGCTGCTTTATCACTGGAAAACTTAAAAAAAAATTTGGATTTCAGCACAAAAACAAAAAGTTTTTCTTGATTATTTTCGCCGTCCATACAATCTGCAAATAGAAGGAGAGGCAGAGAGGTGGGGGAAGAGAAAAGAGAACAAAGCAAAAAGTTTGATTAGTTGCCAAATACGATCAAGATATAAGACAAGATATAGATAAGATATAGCAAGACGTAATATAGTATATGTATGTATATGGAATATATATGTATATAAAGATATGTATGTATGTATGTGTATTTGTGTGTAGTGCTAAATTGGCTCTATTTGAATATTATACGAGTGATAAGAATATCTAAACAGATAAGTTATAGCACACCTGTAGACACACACACACATACATATACATATGTACATATTGTATATATACATATACACTGTATCAATATTATCTGCCTACACTACAAACATTTTTCTTTGGCAACAAATAAAACATATATACAATGTATATCTATATATACAATATATATATATTTTAACTTAACTGATCAATACATTTTACTTTACAAAAGAAATAATGTCTATAGGTTGTTTAGTTTAAGAGTTACAACTAAAATATCATGAATAGCACGTTTTGGGCTCCAATAAAGTCTTCGTACAGCTTTCCTAGACCTTTAGACAGGCAGACAGAAGACGAAATTAACTACGATCGGTTCCCAATGGTTTTTATTCTGAGATACACACACATACATACAATATACATGCATATGTATAAATATATCAAGTTCATTTTGTTTATTATTATTATCGCATTTGTATAACAAAATACGATACTACGTCTGGTACACATATAAGATTTCAAGTCTCTAGCGAGATCTCTTTGTTCATAGGGACAGACAGACAGACATGGCTAGAAGAACTCAGTTGGTGATATGATTGCATATAGACTCTACGGGATCTGCCACGCCTCCTTCGACCTATTGGATACATTTTTACAAAAATATTATAGCCTGATTTCGCATTTTCAGTGGTTTTCGAGTAGAATAATGAATAACGTATGACGAGGAAAAGTTTGAGATCTATAAATTTGCCTTGAATATGATTTTTGAGGTATATATGAGTACATATTGTATGTATAATTATATATATATATATAAGTTACATATAATATGTATAATATCTATAGAATATAGCTTTAAATATATATAAACACCCCTATAGGAAACTTTTACATTCTTTATGTATAATCCTAAATACAAATATCTTCTAATGTTTTATTTAGCGAACGAACACTGTAGGACATATTATCAAATTCTATTTCTTACCTTCCGTATTTTGTAATTTATTGGCACATCTGATTTTAAAAATACTTTATGAAACACTTAACACGCTTTTTGACGGTAGCAATTGAGCAACAATAAAAATAATATTTGAAAAAGAAAAACAAAAGATTTTCTTTTCATTTATTTAGCAATAAATTCATTTTATAGCCGTCAGGCGACACATTTTTATACATACATATATGCATATGTATGTCCATTTCTGTATATATATCGAGGTACACATATGTATATTCCAATATTTCATTCATATTTATATCTGGCACACACTCACTAGCCCGTTACATATAACCGTAATCGCTGTCCCATATCGAATATTTGCTGTATCATGTATGATAAGCTCGCTTATCACTGCTTAAGAATTTAAGATTCGCTTATCAGCTTCGCCGCCGCCGCAAACCTCTCGAATTAAAGTCCAAAATACGAGAATAACAATTTCACTAACTCCATATCTGTCGGTCACTCTCTCTCGCTCGCTCGCTCGCTCTCTCTCTCTCACTCCTGTTTTTATTATTCACTCTCGTAGGCTAATTTTCGACGCATTTGCGGTATTCCCAGGTGCCCGGAGCAGCTTTACAGAGATATTTACGCGTGTGTTATCTACGTGCAAAACAGAAAACAGAAAACAAAAATCAGAAGCAGCAGCGGCAGCGGCAGAAAATATCAGCAGCAACACAACAGCAAAATACACATCAGAAAGCAGCCGAAGCAGAAACGGCAAAAAAAAAAAAAAAAAAAAAAAACCCTGGCAATGTCGACAAACTGGAAACTGATATAATGAAACTTGGCAACAGCGCGCAGTCACATGTTTAGTTGGCTGCTAAGCGCTGATGTCGCTGAGCCACGGCCGCCGCCGCCGCCGTCGACGCTACGGCTGCTGTTGTTGTTGGTCAGCAACATTTTTGTTATTGTTGTTGCGTTTAATGAAAGCAATTAAACTGCACAGCCACAAATAAATAAAAACAATAACAATTAACAGCTGGCAGGCAGCAACAACAACAGCAATAACAATTCGCAATGCACACACAGCGGCGCGTAGAGCTGAGCAACTTTTAGTAAATTAAATTCACACTATGAAAATTGCACAGAAATTGGATTGAATTTAAGCAAACAGCAAAAACACTCGTGCACATACACACACACACATATATATACACGCACACACTCATTCTCTCTGCTCATGCACACTCACACTCATAAACAGACGAAAATTAAGCACAAATTCCACAAACAAGCAAAAAAAAATCAGCCAAGCGTCGCAACGACCAAAAGCCACGCAAAAGCAGCGACGTCGGCAGCAATAAAAATATATTCAGATCCAACAACAAACCATGCAACGTTGCCGCACTTAACACAAAGCAAAAGACAGAGAATAAGTAGAAAAAAAAAACTTAAGCACGCGTAAGATTAAAGCAGCGACGCAAGCGTCGAGCCAGCCAAATGCGCTGTTGACAATTTTCATCGGCCCCAGCGCAAACAAATTAATAAAAATAACAACACACGCACACAGCCAACAGCAACAACAAGCAGCAGCATCAGCAGTAGACGACAATATGAAAAGAGGCTTAAAACTATACGTAAAAAGAAACAAGCAAAGCAGCGCAGCCAGCATCGATGCCAACAGCGTTATAATAATAATAATAATAGCATAAAAAGAAATTATAAAAAAAAAGCCAACTCGAAGCTAAAGCAAAACAACGAAGAAAAAATGCTGCCTCTGCTACTGCCGCAGCACATCTGGCCGCCATGTGCAAAAACGAGAGAGAATGCGCCGTGCGCAAACAAACGAGGCAGAATATACGAGAGACAGAGAGAAGAGCGTGAGCAAACGAACAAACGGCTCGGTCGTTCGTTCCGACTGTCTGACAAGCAGTCGTTGCGTCGGTCGGTCGGTCGGTCGTTGTCGTCACAAAAGGGGAGGAAGCGGGCAAGCTATGGGCCACTGTTGAGGTTGAGCAAAAACAGAGAGCAACAACGCGGGAACTTGAACACACACACAAACATATATGTACATTTATATGTATATATATATTATATATAAACATTTATATATGCAAGTATATAAATATATATATATACATATATATGTATTTATATATAACCATACAACTGCAAAGCAAACAGCAGGCAGCTACGTTGCTGCGCAGCAAAGTTGTACGATGTTGTTCGTGTATTGGTTAAGCGGCGCGCGGGTGACGCAACAGCAAGTGTAAGGCGGCAGGCAGGCAGCGCCGTTGGCAACTGAATACGAAACATATACATACACAAGCAAGTCACATACACACAGAGACACACACACTGACAACAACGAACGTAAATGGCAGGCACAAAACTCGCAACGTCATAACGAGACAAAATGAAAGAGCGAGTAAGCACACGAACGACAGCACGAACGAATGAACGACCAACCGCCAGACAGGCAGCCAGACCGAACGTGAGACCGACCGGCCGACTGACAGACCGAACGACAATCAGTCGGTGAGCCGTGTATAGTGACGTGCACAAAAATCCCCCGAGTAGCAGCGCAGCAAACGTATACTGTGTGTGTGCATGTGTGTGTAGCTGTCGTTGCATACGTTTGTATGTGTGTATGTATATGAAAAATGATAGGAGACGTAAAAGCAAACGAGTCTAACGAGTAAAACGTAGCAATAAACACACGACGAACGGTTGACGGCTGAGAAGGGGCAAGGGGTGTGCGGGTGCGCAAGGTGAAACGTAAAAAAATACCGTGTGTAAGAAGAAGCAGACAGGCACACACACACACACATGGGTACATGCACGTATTTTTACACGGTGACCGTATAATAATAATAATTGTGGAGCATTGGCGCGCTGGCATAAAGTCCACACAAACACACACA